GGGCCCTGTACCTGCAGGGAGACCAGGAGAAGCACCTGGCTCCTGGCTTCAGATCGGCTCAGCGCGCCAGCTGTAGCAGCCATTTGGGGGGGTGAACCAATGGAAAAAGGAAGACTTTCTCTCTGTCTCTTCTCACTGTCTAACTTGCTGTTTTAAAAAAAAAAAAAAAAACTGAGTTCAATCACCTGTAATGAATGTCAACAGCAAGTCACACCCGCCACCATGGGCGAGGCTGCTACCACATGGGAGACTGGATTAAGGTCTCAGTTCCAGATTCAGCCCTGTTGCAGGCATTTGAGGAGTTAACCAGTGGATTGAAAGCATAGATATATATAGAGGCAGAGTTAGAGAGGAAGAGGCACAGAGAGGTCTTCCATCCACTGGTTCAATCCCCAAATGGCCACAACAGTTGGAGCTGTGCCAATCCAAAGCCAGGAGCCAGGAGCTGCTTCTGGGCCTCCCACGCGGGTGCAGGGGCCCAAGGTCTTGGGCCATCTTCTACTGCCTTCCCAGGCCATAGCAGAGAGTTGGATCGGAAGTGGCTCAAACCAGCGCCACTATGGGATGCCAGCCTCCTCCTAATTTTTTAATAAAAGTAAATAAGGGGCCGGCGCGTGGCGCAGTAGGTTAACACCCTAGCCTGAAGCACCGGCATCCCATATGGGCGCAGTTCGAGACCCAGCTGCTCCACTTCCTGCCCAGCTCTCTGCTATGGCCCGGGAAAGCAGTAGAAGAGGCCCAAGGACTTGGGCCCCTGCACCCGCATGGGAGACCGGAAGAAGCTCTGGCTCCTGGCTTCGGATTGGCACAGCTCCATCTGTTGCAGCCATCTGGGAGTGTAACCATCGGATGGAGAGGACCTATCTCTCTCTCCTCTCTCTCTCTATCTCTCTCTCTCTCTCTGCCTCTCCTCTCTCTGGGTAACTCCGACTTTCAAAAATAAATCAAAAAAAAAAAAAAAAAAAGTAAAAAGAAAGAAGAAATCACAAGTTCCTTCACTGTCTTACCAAAAACTTACCACTAGATGGTGATGGGTGACTTCATAAGAAATGAGACTGCACTTTTCCACTCACCCTGACACAGAGGCATCTAGGAAACCATCACCGTCAGTCTGGCACCATCTCCGGGGGCCTCCTGAGTGTTTGTTCCGTGAACGTGGAGGAGGGGTCCCTATCTGCACAGAGCGCTCCACTAGCAGGTGCTGTGGTGCCACCTCGTGCCCAGGGTCTCCCACCGAAGCCTGTGCAGCACCCCAGGAGGCCTTGGGTTACAACAGACTGCTGGACCACCACTCCAGAGTTAGTTCAGCAGGGCATGGGGTGGCCTTGAACGCTCATATCTCGACAATCCCAGAGGAGGCAGACACAGCAAACCATGGATCTCACTCTGAGGACCCCTGCCCCTGCCAGGAAGATTCTGGAAGCTTCCGCTGTCCTAACAGAGGCAGAAGCGGCTGCACAGCCCCTCACCGAAACATGCACACACAATATACATAACGCATGCAGACACACACACAGATATACACACCATACACAGTGTACACACACAACACCTCCTTCTTTCCCTGCAGGGCCTCAGAGGAAGTCACATAACCCAGTCACCAGGCTGAGACGTCTGTCCTGAGCCCTGGTTTGAGCAGGGCAAGTTCCTGGGGCAGCTGTGAGCTGCAGCTCAGGGGCCGCTCACAGTCCTGCGAGATGCTGCAGGGGGCAGCTGTGCCCAGAATCTGGCTGTCCGGGTGCAAAGTCCCAGAGGAAGACTCTGGGCAGAGGGAGGCCCTGGATATGCACAGACAGCACCCCCTCCGGCCTTCCAGCTGCAGCCTAAATGTGATTCTGGGGTGCTGAAGGGCAGAGACCTACGCGATGTCCATGTGCGCCAGGGTTTCCAGAGGCAGATCCAGAGGTGTGTGTCCTCTGTGCTTTTCTGTGCAGTCGCCAACCAACCGCCCTCATTTCTTTCTTTTTTTTTTTTAAGCTGGAGGAATGTGGTCCCCTTGCCTTATAAAAACGCGGCATTTTCATCACCGCTCCCCATCAGAACAACCAGCGAGAGAGAGCGAGAGCGAAGCGAGAGAGAGCGCGAGAGCAAGCGAGAGCGAGCTGTTAGCCAGGAAGGCGCGCCCCAAACACGGGCAGGGCTGAGTTTGCAAAGTGAGCGTCACTCCAAAGGGGCTGGGGGGCTGGGTAGGGAGCTCCCGCTGACAAATTTCTAGCTGGAGATGAACGCTCACACACAGCCGCTCTGGCCGGGTCTGCATCCAAAATCCAGAAATGTCACAGATCTGAGCAAGTACAGGGTGCCGATCCCCACCTGTGTCCATGTCGGCTTACTCTTAACAAGCCTGGCGGGCAAAACCAGCACTGACCCAGCCACCGTACCCTTGATGGGGGGGGGGCAGGACATGGGGGAGGTACCAGGGACCAGAAATTCGCGTGGACCCCATCTCCATTTGCGCCCTCCCCCGACTCTTCCAGATCCCGCAGAGTCCTGCATCCGGGAAACCCCTAGGTCCAGGCCAGACGGGCAGCTTCATCACCTGCTGAGTACAGTCCAGCCCTCAGTTCGGCCCCTCAGTGCAGGGCCCCCAGCCTGTGCCAACTCCAGGAGCTGGACGCTGTGCCCTCGTGCACACGCACGTGGACTTCAGCACAGAGCGTGTGGGAAGCCCTGATTCACACCCGCGGCAGTGTGAACGCCAAGAGCGTGGGCGCCTACCTGGGCCTGCAGCTCCGTTCTCTGCGCCTGTAGGTGGGAGCGACTCCTGGGCCCCTCCAGCTGATCCTGCAGAGACGACAATTCCCGCTCGGTCAGGAGCTTCTCCTGCAAAGGGGCCAGGCTCAGACACACACATCGGGAGGAAATGCAGCAAGGACAAAGGCAGAGTAGGGATATTTGCACCTGCCCCCACCCCGCCCCATATTCACCACCAAGGTCACTTGGTGACACTGCACTGGGCAGCCAGGCCTTTGGGGGTGATGGGTGGTGGAGGCGTGAGGCTGGGCCCTGTGCTGGGATTAGTGCCTTCCAAGAAGACAAGCACCCAGGGTTCTCCCTCCACCATGCCAGGTGCGGCAAGAGGGCAAGCCGGGAAGAGAGCCATTGGCACCCTGACCTTGGCTCCAGAGCCAGAACCGTGAGTCATCAGTGCCTGTCATTGAAGCCCCCAGTCTGTGTCATCCGTTACAGCCGCCAAGCTGAGAGCCACAAGAGCCACTACTGCTTTCTTTTTTTTTTTTTTTAAGATTGATTTGTTTGAAAGCCAAAATTACAGTGGAAGATACAGAGGACAGAGAGATCTTCCATCTGCAGATTCATTCCCCAAATGGCCGCAACGGCCACGGCTGGGCCTGGCCAAAGCCAGGAGCTTGGAACACCATGGGTCTCCCACATGGGAGGCTGGAGCTCAAGCACTTGGGCCACCTTCCATGGTCTTCCCAGGTGCATTGGCAGAGAGACAGACTGGAAGGGAGCAGCCGGGACTTGAACCGGCAACCCAAATGGCAGCTTAACCACTGTGCCACAAGCCTCCCTGCCCCCTTCTTGGTTTATTTATATGCATCATATTACAGCATCACAAATTACACAAACCACACTAGGAGGAAAAATCGTGATACCCGTTGAACAGGGAGAGGGACATGGAAGATTGTGTGGTTCCCAAATGGGTTCAGAGATCTCTAGCCTGTTCCACAGTACTCAAGCTAGCATTAGCAAAGCCTGGCCAATCATCTCCCCTCATTGCCCCAGGTTCTCCTTTGAAGTGACGAACTGAACCAGGAGGGGATTACAAACACAAGCAGCCTGCTGTGCTGTGACTGTGTCCCCCTGACCCCCTACTGGAGACTCTCCAGGCACAGCGCTGGCAGGTGGGGCCCGCGGGGTGAAGTCCAGGCTCTGTCCTCAGGAATGGACTAACGCTGCCCTGAGAAGGGCTGCTGGGGGCGGCTCCTCCCCTTCCCCTCTTCTGCCAAGTGAGGACACAGAGCTCCCCCACCTTGGGCCCTTCCTGCCTTCCGCCACGTGAGGATGCAGCCAGGAGGCCCTCACCAGCATCCGTAACAGTGAGAAATCCACTTCTGCTCCATATACATTACCCAGTCAGCCCTATGCTGTTACAACAGCAGAACAGACTCCAAGGGACCAGGGCTGAGGCACAGAAGGTTACACTGGCATCCCATGTTGGAGTCCTGGCTGCTCTGCTTCCAGGCAGCTCCCTGCTGATGCACCTGGGGAAGCAGCAGAAGACGACCCAAGTGCTTGGGGCCCCTGCACCCATGGGGCGACCCAGGCTTTGGCCTGGTGCAGCCCTGGCTGTTGTGTGCATTTGGGGAGTGAACCAGCAGATGGAAGCTTGATCTCTCTTCTTCTCGCTATCATTCTTTTTATTTCAAATAAATAAAATAAATCTTTAAAAATAACAGGAGAGCAAATCTGAGCAGATACTCAACAAAGAAGATTTCTTGGATGACAGAGAAGTACGTAAGATGCCCAGTACTGGGCCAGCACTGTGACGTCGCAGGGTAAAAGCCTCGCCTGTGGCACAACATCCCATGTGAGCACCGGTTTGAGTCCTGGCTGTTCCACTTCCATCAATTCCCTGCTACTGCGCCTGGGAAAGCAGCTGAATATGACCCAACTCCTTGGGCCCCTACACACACATGGGAGACCCTGAGGAAGTTCCTAGCTCCTGGCTTCAGATCAGCCCAGCTCTGGCTGTTGCAGTCATTTTGGGGGAATGAACCAGGGGATGGAGGGCCTCTCTCTCTCTCTGTTCCCCCACCACCACCAACTCTGCCTTTCAAATAAATAAATAAATAAATAAATCTTTGAAAAAAAAATGATGCTCAGTTGGGGCCGGCACTTCGGCTCAGGGGTTAAGCCTGGCCTGGAGTGCCGATATCCCACATGGGCGCCGGTTTGAGACCCGGCTGCTCCACATCTGATCCAGCTCTTGCTATGGCCTGAGGAAAACAGTACACAGATGCCCCATGTCCTTGGGCCCCTGCACCCATGTGGGAGACCTGGAGGAAGCTCCTGGCTCCTGGCTTCGGATTGGTGCAGCTCCAGCCATTGCAGCCAACTGGGGAGTGAACCTGCAGATGGAAGACCTCTCTCTCTCTCTTCTCTCTCTCTCTCTCTCTCTCTCTGCCTCTCTTTCTCTCTCTGCGTAACTCTTTCAAATAAATAAATAAATCTTTAAAAAAAAAATGATGCTCTGTATCAGTAGCCATCAGGGAATGCAAAAGAAAACCACAATGAGATATGCAATATACCTAGCAGAAGCAAAAAAATAAATAAATAAATAAACTACAAAGCTGACCTACCAAGAGCTGCCAAGGCCACAGAAAGCAATGGTAGCTGTGGTTCATGGTGGCAGGGAAGCATTTCCACTTTGGAAAGTAGTTTGGGGTTCCTTACAAGGTACACAGGAAAGAACAGCCGGTCTGAGCAATCTTCAGAAAGTTCTTGGAAAATACGCATTATGAAGAAGATGCGCATGGACTTCAAAAACGTTTTGCACCAAAATAAGCCTCACTCTTAACCCCATTTTGGCAGGAACTTTCTGAAGTCACCTTATGATTCTCGAGAAGACACCTAAGACAGCGGTCAGGGCCAGGGTGCATCCCCAGATGTCTAACTGTGGGCATTTGCAGTGCGAGTCACAGCCCACAGGGGTCAGCTTCAGATCTGAAGGCAGTGCAGGAGCAGGGAGCAGTCAACCCACCAGGGCTCCTGCACAGTCCCTGGGTCTGCCCAGGATGCCCAGGCCCAGGGCAGCAAAAGCCTCCACATCCGGCTTCCCCGGCAGCTGGGGCTCCAGGTCTTACCTCCCTCATCCCACCTGCGCTGGTGGCCACCTGTGAAGCAGTATGGGTGATCTGCTGCAGGATGCTGATGTAGGCCTGGATTTCCAGAAGATTCTGTCAGGGAAAGCAAAGCATTCTCAGTATCAGTTAAGCCGCTCGGGTTTTCCCTGTAGCAGCAGGTGTACCCAGGAGAGGACGCTCACCCACGTTCTCCCATCACAAATGGGACAGACCATGAACACATCAGGGATGGGAAGAGGGTGATGGATCTGCTGCCACCGATGGGCCCGCCCATGCTGTACCCATCAATCCTCACGAGAGAGGGGCAGATGAGTGAACAGGGGCTGTGTTCAACTCACCCATTTCCTTTCAGTTACCTTGGCGCTTTGCTGCTACTGCACAGAGCCCCAGATGGCGGAGGCATGGGAGAAAAGTAGAACCCTCGGCCGGCGCCATGGCTCACTAGGCTAATCCTCCACCTTGCAGCACTGGCACACCGGGTTCTAGTCCCGGTCGGGGCGCCGGATTCTGTCCCAGTTGCCCCTCTTCCAGGCCAGCTCTCTGCTGTGGCCAGGGAGTGCAGTGGAGGATGGCCCAAGTGCTTGGGCCCTGTACCCCATGGGAGACCAGGATAAGTACCTGGCTCCTGCCATCAGATCAACGTGGTGCGCCAGCCGCGGCGGCCATTGGAGGGTGAACCAATGGAAAAGGAAGACCTTTCTCTCTGTCTCTCTCTCTCACTGTCCACTCTGCCTGTCAAAAAATAAAAAAAATAAAATAAAAAATAAAAAAAAAAGTAGAACCCTCAAGGCCAGAGGGCACAAAGGCACAAAGGCCCTGCATCCAACACATGGCTGCAGGCAACCAGGCCTGGACCAGATGACTCACAGAGTACCTGTGGCCTTGGGCAGCCTTTAAAACCTCATGAAATGCAAGTTCATCTATAAAGCAGAGCAAACCCTCTGTAGGGACACCTGGTCCCCAGCTCTCTGGGCAACGACTGGACATGGCCTCTTCAGAGAGCCACCTTGGCCAACCAATGCCCACTCTTGTCCAGGAAGCTACCCAGACCGAGCCTCGTCCCCAGGGCAGGCCCGTGACTGAAAAAAGACTGCCGGCGCCGCGGCTCAATAGGCTAATCCTCCGCCTGCAGCGCCGACACCCCAGGTTCTAGTCCCGGTCGGGGTGCCAGATTCTGTCCCGGTTGCCCCTCTTCCAGGCCAGCTCTCTGCTGTGTCCAGGGAGTGCAGTGGAGGATGGCCCAAGTCCTTGGGCCCTGCACCCGATGGGAGACCAGGAAAGGCACCTGGCTCCTGGCTTCAGATCAGCACAGTGTGCCGGCCGCAGCGTGCCAGCCGTGGCAGCCATTGGAGGGTGAACCAACGGCAAAGGAAGACCTTTCTCTCTGTCTCTCTCTCACTGTCCACTCTGCCTGTCAAAAAAAAAAGAAAGAAAGAAAGAAAAAAGACCAACGCTCTGGCCTCACAGCAGCACGGGGTCAGCCTTGAATCCACACCCTGGGAGTGAGAGACAGGGCTGGGGCTGGACCCATGCCCACTCTTCTCTGCTGCTCCTCCCTGGAGCCCTGCGCACAAACATCAACCACACAAGCTCTCCACCCCCAGCTCCTACGGAACCGACCTGAGACTCTCTCAAGTGAGACAGCCAGGTGAGTTCACAGGTGAGCTATTTAGTATTCGAAATGGCCTCAAAACACACACACACACAACAACAACAACAACATCGCTTGGAGCTGAGCCCAGGCACTGCTCCTAGGGGGATTCTCAGTGCAGCAGAAGCAAGAAGGGAAGCAACACTGAGCTGGGGAGGTTTGCCAAGCACTGGCCAAGCTCAGGTGTGCAGGTGCGCGTGTGGGTGTCCCCAGGCTGCACGCTCTGCATGTGACCCCGCTGCCTTGGGCTGTGACACCAGGAAGCTTGACTGTGGAGGGGCGAGGGCGTGGTTCTGTTATCACTATGTCACCACCTGGGCACCTGCAGCTCCATCCCAGTGAGGAAGGGGATGTCTCTGGGCCCCAAGGCAGAGCAGAAGCCCCCACGTGGTCCCACGGAGGCGAGAGGGAGCTGGGCTGTGTGTGACGCCAACTCCTGCCTGCTCACAGCAGGGCAGCAGATCCTCAACACAACACTAGCGGGCAGAGCGGCCTGCAGCTGCTTGGACACGGCGCGCAGGTGCACACACTGGAAGTGGGAGGGGCCAGAGCCTGAGGGTGGAGACCACGCCCGGCCAGTACCACAGGTCCCCCACACTGGGCAACCCACACAGCCACACTGGGAAGGCAAGCCTGGCATTGGCAGCTCAGAGAGGTGAGGCCACAGGCACAGCTCCGGAGTGGGATATTTCCAGTACCCCCAGAACCCCCCAAAGGGAGAGCTAAAAAAAAAAAAAAAAAAAAAAAAACACCATTTTCTTTTTTCGTATCTGTATTTCCTGAGCTCAAGCAGTTGACAGAGGAGAGCTTAATCAAGACAGTGCTCCATGAAATCGCTTTGTAAACTGCAGACACACTACAGACAGCAGGCTCCCCACACCCCAGACACGCCCCAGGGGGCCACTCCTCTGCCCATGCCTGGTTCATTAAGTGCTGTGCAGTGACCAACCCGCCCCTAGCACAGCTCGCGGGAAAACGCACACAAACGGTGGCCCATGAGTTTGTGTGCTGGGCTCCTGTGACCACACCCAGGGAGTCACGGTTACCTTTTGTACCTGTCCTTGGCTGCACTGATGTCATCCTGCAGGAACTGGGCTTCGATCTGAAGGCGCAGGTTATGCAGCAGGGCCTCGTCTGCTTCCTGCGAGGACAAAGGGTGGCGTCCTGGGCACCCGGACCGCGGCAGCAGTGCTGCCACAGAGGCGGAAACTCGGCCAGCGTGTGAGCACCCAGGGAAACACAGGTCCTGGGGCAGATGTGCCAGCCCAGCGGCTCAGACGCCCGTGTCCAGGACCTGAGTCCAAGTCCCAGCTCCAGCTCCTGACTCCGGCTTCCTGCTAATGGAGAGCCTGGAGGGCAGTAGGAGGTGGCCCAGGTGGTCGGGAAGGGGTTGGGTCTCTACACATCCTGGAACAAGCTGCCAGCTCCCAGCTTCCTCCTGGTCCTATTCTGGCCATTAGAAGCATCTGGGGGAGTGAACAGCAAACAGAAGGTCTCTCTCTCTCTCTCTCTCTCTCTCTCAACTAAATAATAAATCTAAAAAATTAAAATATTAGAGTGTAGGTATATTTACTTACCCAAATAACCTTAACATTTAAATGTGCTCTAAATCATCATCGAGTTGAGTTCCTAAGATTAAACAGGAAAATAGGCTTCCTTTAATTCTGAACTGGTATTGTATTGCACTGTATTGTTGAAAAGCAGAGTTGCGGAGAGAGAGCACCCTTCCATACACTGGTTCACTCCCCAAATGCCCACAACAGCCAGGGCTGGGCTGGGCCAAAGCTGGGAGCCCGGAGCACCATCCAGGTCTCCCATGTGGGTGGCAGGTGTTTGGATCATCTTCTGTTACCTCTGAGATCCAGTGGAAAGCTGGATTGAAAGCACCGTAGCTGGTACTCAATCCGGCACCCCCAACACGGGATGCTGGTACCCCAAACAACAGCTTAACCCACTGTGCCACAATGCCTACCCCAAAACCTGTATTGCAATAGTTCTCTCCCAGGACTGTTGACGCGCACTCAGAGAACTGTTCCTGTGCTGTGATGTCTGGAATAGACAAAAGTACTCCAGAGTGTCCAGTGCAGTACTGCAGGTGAGCATCCCTGCCCCACTCACCTCACACACTGCCACCTGCCCAGTGGCAATACCTGAGGCTTTGACAAGGGGACTTTACTGCTTTTTACTGAATAAGCATGATGAATATTAGTAATGGCTTCCTATGAATAAAGGTGGATACAGGGCTTGGCTAAAAATGCTTTAATATATATACATATATATATATTTTAAAGATGTATTCATTTGAATGGCAGAGTGACAGAGAGAGACGGGCGGGGGTGGGGGCAGAGATCTTCTACCTGCTGGGTCCCTGAGTGCTGCTTCTGGGGACTCCCAGTTCTGCGTGAGCCGGGATTGGCCCATGTGGGTCACAGGGCCATCACCTCCCTTAACAGCAGAACCACAATGATGAGAAGGAAAAGCCAGGAGGCAGTGGTTCAACCCCAGGGATGGGGTCTCCCTCGGACAGAGGCATGGCTAACTCTGGGGCCACAGAGAAGGAGAGCTGGGCACAGACCTGGAGCCAGCCCCTCCGAGTGTGGCTGCCTCTCCTCTGCCCCTCTGCAGCTGGCTAGGGACAGGACAGAATGGCGAATTCTAATCATCTTCATTTGTACACAAACCCCGCCATGACGACCCACCGTTACGGGAGCCGAAAGATGGAAACTGGGCTTCAAGGACACTTTGTGTTGCTGCTTCTAAAAGGGAGCAGACATCAAGGTTTTTAGAAGAGAGGGTCGGGGCCAGCACTGTGGCACAGTGGATAAAGCCACTGCCTGCAGTGCCGGCATCCCATATGGACGCCGGTTCGAGACCCGGCTGCTCCACTTCCTGCCCAGCTCTCTGCTATGGCCGGGAAAAGCAGTAGAAGATGGCCCAAGTCCTCGGGCCCCAGCACCTGCAGGGAGACCGGAAGAAGCTCCTGGCTCCTGGCTTCGGATGGCACAGCTCCGGCCATTGAGGCCATTTGGGGAGTGAACAGCAGATGGAAGCCCTCTCTCTCTCTTTCTCTCTCTCTCTCTCTCAGCCTCTGCCTCTCTTTTACTCTGCCAAGAAGGGAAGAAAGAGAAGGTTGTTGGACCTGCAACTTCATTTAAGCCACAGCTGCCATCCTTCAAAGCATCCCACGCAAGCAATGTCCAGTAGCAAAGATGCTCTTCGTGGAGGGCAACCACAGGCACTCTCCCCACGGGGGCCTTTCAGACCACTCCAGGGAACCCTAGGGCTCAGCAAGAACAGCTCAAAACCAAGAGTCAAAACTAACCTCTACAGATGGGGGAAACTGAGCCAGACAGTCCAGGGGGTAAAAGAAGATGAGAGAAGTGGAGTCCCTTCTTGGGCTTCTCCATACCAGTCACGGACTGGGTGCTGAGCCCTGCACCATCCCTCCGGGGGTGTCTGCCACTCCTCCCCACCTCCCTCTTAGAGTGATGCCAGAGCTGCCCTCCCAGGTCCCATCAGTCAAGTCTGCAAACTGCTCAGGATGATGATAGAAGGCGGCTCAGTTATGTGTCCCCAGAACAGGGATCACGCAGACGCTGGTGCAAGCACACGGTCTGGCTCTGCTGACAGTCACCTGACAATCAGCCCCAAAGCCCCCAGAGCGCCAAGGGTGAGTGGGCACCGCTGGAATGTGCAGCTGCTGTGCTGTGGAGGAGAATTGGTTTTGGACCTGTTCTCTTTTGTTTGCGTTAGAACTCGGAAAATGTGTGGACGCTTGAGTTTTCATTATGCTTTGGATGCTGTCAGCTGAATTTTCAAAAGCTTTACCCACGGGAGCATCTAGATTTTACCAAATGGAGCTTCTGGGTCAACAGTTTAATTTTAGAAAACATTCCAGCCCTGACAGTGGGTATGTTCCAGATCTAGACCCGTGGTTCTCAAAGTGTGGGCCCTGGACCACACCACCAGGGAACTGACTAGAAACTCAAACACCAGTCCAGCAGATCCCAGATTTACCGGATCAGCCTTCCTGGGGCTGGGACCCGGGAATCTGTGTTCAGCACAGCCTCCAGATAACACTGACGCACACTGAAGTTCAGAGTCACTGGCCTAAGCTATTTACAGCCAATTGAGAAAGAGGCTGAAGAAATAAAGAGAATTCCATGAACCTTAGAAAACCAGCCTTGCCTACCTGTTCACAGTGAATCTGGAAACTCCCTTAAGAACCCAACTACTAAAGAACGGGTATTCTAGTTCAAGAAGATTTCTAGCTAGCTAGGATTGAACTAAAAACTCTTCTCCTTCATTTTAAAATTCTTGGAATTTTAAAGAAAAAAAAGGATGGGTGAGAGTAAAACCTTAAAGTTTGCTCTTTATAGTTCCTTAAGCAAATTCAGGTGTTACTGGGGGCCATCTCTCCATCTGTATATATTTAGAGACAATGAGTTGTAGTCAAACTGCAACATTTCAGTGTCCCCTGACATTCTTAACTATTCAAAGGCTGAAAATGTGAACGCCTTTGGCCATTACGTAGGTGAGGGAATTCATTCTGCATAGCAAAAATGCATAGCACAGAGCGGCTTGCTTTAGCTCATCTGGCTGTTAAAACACGGGCGCTCAGATCTGGAGGATCAAGTCCACGGGCAGCATCAGCACATGGCAGTTGAATGAAAGCAGCAGTCCACACTCTCACTCATCGTGATGCTTTCCAGGCAGGCTTCAAAGGCCATGTCCATGATGTCCCATGGCCACAGCCTGGGATGAACGGAGCCCATCTGCCAGTGAGACCAAAGCAAGTGGACATGGAGACTGAATTGAGAGCCAAACCCTTGATCCAAAGACCTACCAGCCACAACCACTGAGACGGGCAGACAAGATCTGAATTCTCTCCATTCTTCTCATCTGTTGACCTCAATGGACAGAGAGTCCAGTGGTCACCTGGCCAACCCTTGAGGCACAGAATGTTCCAGAAGATTGGGTACAGGTGCTTATGTTGGAGACAGTCCCCGAAAGCACAGGCAAGGGAGAGGAAGTGACACAGGGCAGGGAACAAAGCCAGCAGGTGGTCCGCAAGAAGGTTCTCATTGTGGACAGCTGCGGGGTGCGGTCTTGCCTCTGGGACTGAGTGGAGCTCACCTCTGAGTTGTCATAATGACAAGGTAAGGCAGCTGGGGAACTTATCTACCTACTCCTGCCCCTCAACAGCTGAAGGTGGCCCCTGGGGTGTTAAGAGTTGGCACATCTGGGCTCTGTGCCCCTTGTGAGTCCTGAGAGTCCATGGCACAGCCAGAGAGATGCAGGAAGCCATCAAGGTGCCCAGCATGACTGGGTGACTGCTAGGGTGCACCAGGGGATATGGCAGAGAACCAACCAGGGCCAAGGGACCATCTCTTACCAAGAGACTTCGGCTTTGGGTCTAAGAGACACAGATTCTCTGACTGTTCTCAGGTAGAGAATAAGCCATGGACACAAAACATGTGCACCTGCCACAGATGGGCCATGGGGCTCCAAAGTCATTTAACCTCACCAAGGGCGAATTTCCTCACTGGCAAAGAGGAGCTGACCATGTCATCTCTAGGGACAAAGCCTGCCCCACCAAAAACCAAAGGTAACTTTCCAAGGCTTCCATGAGCCAGCGCAAGGACCTCCCCACATGTGCAAGCTGCACTCATGACTTCCACTATATCCAGGTATCACTTGCACTATCGTGGACTCAATTTTACTTTTATTTGCTTACAAAGGAACTTTTCAATGTTACCTGCTGTAAATAATCATAAAAAATTCACAACCCTAAAAATCTGTTCCTCCACACACCACATCTAAAATCATCTCCCTTTCAAGGGTTATGCAGCCCACACAGCAAAGCAAACTGAGCGTGTGTGTCACATCAAGTGCTCTGTAACAGGGCCTGGCCTTGTGGCACAGGGGTTTAAGCCTCCACCTGCCATATTGGCATCTCATATGAGCACCGGTTCAAATCCCAGCTGCTCCACTTTCAGTCCAGCTCCCTGCTAATGCACCTGAGAAAGCAGCAGAAGACAGCCTGAGTGCTTGGATCCCTGCACATATGTGGGAGACCTTGATGAGTTCCAGGCTCCTGGCTTTGGCCTGGCCCATCCCCAGCTGCTGCAGCCATCTGGGGAGTGAACCAGCGGATGGAAGACCTCTCTGTCTTTGTCTCTTTCCCTCTCTCGGTAACTCTGCCTTTCAAATAAACAAATCAATTTTTAAAACGTGCTCTGTAATTATAACCATGACCATGAAGTGAGCACCACCAGACAGCAGGTCACGAACATTACGTCATTTAGTTGTCACTAGGCATGTGGACACAGTTCTACTCCTGTGGGAAGGGTCTCTTATTGTTCCAGTTTCACAGACGAGGCAGCTGAGGCTCAGAAACATGAGACAATTCTCCAACAGCCTCACAAAGACAGCAGTAGTGCAAGGATCCTACTAGCAGGCCACACTCCTCTTTCTATGCACAGCTCACCAGTGGGCAGAAGTGTCTTGTTCTGGACTCAGGGAGCAGTCATGCGAATTTCCTGTGCTGAGCCTCACCTGAGTTCTTGGTAGCAGCTTTGCCTGCAACCTGCATAATATTCTTGCAGGGCTGACCCTGCACAGATTTATGCCCCATGCCATAGCTGTTTTGAACGCATGGTGGAGGGTGGGATGTCTTTTCCTCATTTTTCATTACACTGTTTTTATTTTTCTACTAAGAATATATATTGCTTTTGTAATAAGAGAAAAACAGCAGGAGGTTCCGGGGCCCTGTTCCCTCTCTCTTCTCTGTCTTTGAACACTGCCCAAGATGGCTCCGTGTAAGTGCCAACCTGAGAAGTCAGGCCAAAAACCTGCTTACAACGAGAACAAATACTCACAGGAACACGATTTGGGGAGGGTTTGGGGAAGGTATGAACTGGCACCTGCAGGAAGGTGGTGATGACCCTCTGTCCCTGAGGGCAGGCATCTCTGGACAAAATAGTGATCCCATCTGGCCATTGGGACTGCCACCACAGACAAGAATGGGATGAGCTACAGACATGGGCAGAACAGCCGGGCGATGATGGAGGCTAAGACCGGACTCTCAGCGCCAGCTTCCAACAGGCTGGGGGCCAGCGGCTGAGCCTGGCTCCCTGCTGTCTCCATGCTTATGTCAAGAGGGCTCACAGAGCCTTCCAGCAGGGAGACCTTTGCAGTTCCTATCAGCTGACCTGCGTAACCAAGGCCAACACCACCATCCACAGAAGCATCCTGGTCTGGCCAGCACATTACAGAGAAGGGGGCCCTGTAACGCAGGCTATACCAACAAAGCAAAATTTGGCTTCCCAGATTCTAGTCCTGATGTCCCCACTAGAATAATCTCCCACACAGAGCCCTCACAAAAATGGGAGACGAAAAACACCCTGAGCTGGTCTGAAAGAATTCTGAAGCCTACTTGGGCAGAACAGGGACCAGTTTGGGGGCCTCGTCAGTAATGATGATGAGGTCAGGTGCATTGAGAGAGGGACCCAAGTGCCCTAAATAAGCAACCCTCCAACTAAACAGTCTGCAGGGGTCCTGGCACTCTGACAACCTATCCCCGAGTGATGAGGAAAACACAATGCTTCATGCTATTTGCCATCCCAGGTTCTGTCCACCCCTGGTCGTCCAAGGTTACTCTGCTGTCTGGGAGGAGAGTTCTCAGTCGATCCAGATGGTGATGGAGGAAGCTGCACCTGCAAAGCGGAGCTTCACCCAACCCAGCAGGACTGGAAGCAAAGAATCCCTGGTGCCCCCATGTTGTTACTTTTCATGTCCCAAGAAGAGGGAGCTTGAGGACAAATGAAAATATCTTCCTGGGACCAGCATTGTGGCACAGCAGGTTAAGCCGCCACCTGCAACACCAGCATCACATACAGGCGCTGTTTGAATCCCGGATGCTTCACTTCCAATCCAGTTCCCTGGGGAAGCAGCAGAAGATGGCCCAAGTGCTTGGACCCCTGGCACCTACGTGGGAGACCTGGATGGAGTTCCTGGTTCCTGGCTTGGCCAGCACAACCCTAGCCATTGTAGCCATTTAGAGAGCAAACCAGTGGGTGGAAGATCTCTTTCTCTCTCTCTGTCTCTCCCTCTTTCTCTGTAACTCTGCCTTTCAAATCAATAAGTTTTTGAATAAATAATTAATTTCTTCTCTGCTGTCTCAACACTTCCCCTTGGAGCAGCCATCTCATGACTCTTAGCCACGGAAGAGGGGTCTCACTGCCTCCAAATGACCATGGCCAACGTGAGCTCCTTCTAAGCTTGGTGTCTGGGATCAGCGTGTGTTGAGTGTTGGCCGTTAGCTGGCCCCTGCAATGCTGGCTTGCTCTGATGGCCCAGCACAACCAGGCAGCTTCAGAGCTGATGTGTATCCTGTGGCAGAGAGGTGTGTGTGGGTTCACTCACAAAGATTCAGTTGAAATTAGAGAGTCCAGAAAGAGGGTGACGAGGCGAGAAATGGGCGAGTCGCAGTGAAACACGAAGAGATGTGTGTGAAACCATAGCTTCCGCCATTCAGTGCAACACTAAGGAAGCTACTTCCGCCCCGGGTGTGCCCAGCTCACCTTGTTCAGCCGTTCGAGCATTTCTTTCAGCAGCAGTTGGCACTCACACTCATTTTCATACCTGCAAATGGGATGCACAGATGAGAGTCGGGTGGCTTCTGTGACTTCCCAAGTGCAGACCACACACACTCGGCGTCAAACCCTGCCTGACCTGCGTGCCACGCCCTCTGCTTCAAGGAAAGGGTCTGAACCACAGGCCAGCAGCTGATGCTGCACCTGTGAGCCCACCGCCTCCCAATTCTTTTCACACCACGGAGCATGCACAAAGTGGTAACGTTTGCACCTGGCGTGGGGTAACAGGGAGTGGTAAATGGAACAGGAGTCTGCCAGCCTGGGGGACCCAACAACCCCCAACCGGCAGTCACCCAGCCGCCCAGGGATGAGGGACTTCTATCCTGGTGCACCTGTAACCCGAGTGCAGCAACAGCACAAGGCTAGGAAGGTTGCCACACACAGTCCACCACAAACACCATGACCCTGACCTTATGAGGATCCCCTATGCTATTTTATTTGATATGTGTAATGTGTCCATTTTTCTGGATTAAGTCATTTAATCCTCACAACAAGCTACAAGACAGCAGTTTTGTTACTGCTGCGTGGAAGACGGGAAACTGAGGTTGAGAAATTTGCCCAAGGCCTCGGATGGATGCTCCCAGCCCTGTGCCTGATCCTGTGCATCACTCCTGTCTAGTAACAGCTCCTCTGGGCCAGTGGGCAGAGCAGGCTGGGGGTGCCCTCAACCTCTGCCAGAGGCCAGCTGGTACCTAACCACCCCGCGCTCCACAGTGCACTCAGCCTTGGCTGCCCGCCCTTCCCCGCCTCACTCCCTCACTCCCCCCACCAACGTGCCCCAGCTCATCTCACAAAAGCAACTCACCCTCCAATCCCTGCCTCCAGCTTAGCTTCTGGAGGACTCCTAACTAAGACACAGAGGGGAGCAGGACTCACCCTCGAATCCGACACCAAAAACTGTGCTCTGGTGACTCCACATACTGTCTGTGTATGGCAGGAAGACCCTCCCCCTCAATTTAAACATACACAAGATTCATAGAGCAGAGGCTAGAAGCAGGTGTATTTTTTTCTCCTAATCAATTTCTTCCTGGACTTTTAGACAATGATGGGGATCAAGGAAGCAGAGGCTCCAGACATTATTCTGCTCAGAGTAGGGACTTCCCGCTGCAGGAATGTCACCCTTAAAGAAAAACAGAGGTGGCCCCTTCCCAAATGACCCCTCTCTGTGTTCCCTGTAAGCTTCCCCCCAGTATCCCATCTTGCCTTTTTCTTGGTAAACTACATTTCCCAGCTTTCCTTGCAGCCAAGAGTGGCCATGTGACTGAGTCCTGACCAATGGGGTAGAAACAAAAGTCCGTGTGGCAGCTTCCAGAGAAGGGAGGAGCACTTTGGCTCTCTGCATCCCTTTCCCAACCTGCAGCCTGGAACATGCGTGTTGCCTTCTTGAAGCCCAGACACAGCCTTCTGGGTCTCAAGCCATCACAGAGGACCCCTATCAACTGCTCACCCAGACCTTACCCAAGACAGAAACAAACTCCCATCCTGGGTAAGCCGAGGTGTCACGTTGGGGTCTCTGTTTTGTTTTGTTTTGTTTTGGTGGTGGTGTGCAATTAGTAGTATTCAATACATTCACAATACTGTGCAGCCGTTACCACCATCCATCTCCCTAACTCTTCCTAATGCAAAACTAAAACTCTGTGCCCCTTAAATGCCAATCCCCCTCCCTCCGCCCCTGGCATCCACCATTCTGCTATCTGTCTCCACGATTCTGACAGCACAGAAGTGGAATTACAAGGTATTTGCCCTTTTGTGACTCACTTCTTTCACTTAGCATAAGGTTCTCAAAGTTCATCCAAGTGGTAGCATATGTCAGAATTTCTTTTCTAAAACTGTTCTATTACTTTTATTTATTTGAGAGGCAGAAAGACAGGCAGACAAAGGGAGAAAAAGACAGGCAGACTGACAGAGCTTGCATCCACTGGTTCACTCCCCAAATGCCTGTAACATCTGGAGCTGGGCCAGGTTGAAGCTGGGAGCCAGGAAATCAATCTTGGTCTCCTATAAAAGTGGCCCAACCACTTGCTCCATCACCTGATGCCTCCCAGCATGCATATTAGCAGGAAGCTGGAATTGGCAGCAGAATTTAACCAAACTCAGGCACTCCAATATGGAATGGTGGTGACCCATTAACTACTAGGCCAAATGCTCACTCCAGAATTTCCTTCCTTTTTCAGACTGAAAAATATCCCACTGTATATTCAACAGCACTTCAAAAAGTTAGTGGTAAAATAGAATGGAAAGATAAGTTTATCTTGGGATTCCAGGGGTCCAGCGCTGTGGCTCACCGCATTAAAGCCTCCATCTGCAGCGCCAGCATCTCATATAGGCTCCGGGTCAAGTCCTGGCTGCTCCATTTCTGATTTAGATCCCTGTTAATGTGCCTGGGAAAGCAGCAGAGGATGGCCCAAGTGCTCCCTGCACCACATGGGAGACCTAGAAGAAGCTCCTGGCTCCTGGCAATGGCCTGGCCCAGTCCTGGCTGTTGCAACCATTTGGGGAATGAACCAGCAGATGGAAGATCTCTCTATCTCTGTCTCTCGTTCTCTCTCTCTGTAACTCAGCATTTCAAATAAATAAATAGATCTTGAAAAAATAAGTTTATTTTGGTGTAAAAAATTTAAACCTGTGTATATAATGGAATTTTTAAAAGTTCATGGAAATGCATATCGGCCGGCGCCGCGGCTCACTAGGCTAATCCTCCGCCTTGCGGCGCCGGCACACCGGGTTCTAGTCCCGGTCGGGGCGCCGGATTCTGTCCCGGTTGCCCCTCTTCCAGGCCAGCTCTCTGCTGTGGCCAGGGAGTGCAGTGGAGGATGGCCCAGGTGCTTGGGCCCTGCACCCCATGGGAGACCAGGAAAAGCACCTGGCTCCTAGGCTCCTGCCATCGGATCAGCGCGGTGCGCCGGCCGCAGCGCGCCAGCCGCGGCGGCCATTGGAGGGTGAACCAACGGCAAAAGGAAGACCTTTCTCTCTGTCTCTCTCTCTCTCACTGTCCACTCTGCCTGTCAAAAAAAAAAAAAAAAAAAAAGTTCATGGAAATGCATATTATGAAAAAAATCTATGCATGGATTTCAAAAATTTTTTGCACCAAAATAAATAGATCCTTTAACTCCGCTTTTTCTACTAACTCTTTTTCTAAAAAGAGAACTTTTTGAGTACTCTTATATATTCCAAGATTTGTTTCTCCATTTATCTACTGAAATGTGAGTTGCTCCACATTTTAGCTAGCATGCATAACATTGTTGAACACGCAAATACAAACATCTCTTCAAAATCCTGTTTCTGGGGCCGGCGATGTGGCATAGCAGGTAAAGCCACTGCCTGCAGTGCTGGCATCCCATATGGGCGCAGGTTCAAGTCCCAGCTGCTACACTTCCAATTCAACTCTCTACTATGGCCTGGGAAATCAGTAGAAAATGGCCCAAGCCCTTGGACCCCTGCATCCATGCGGGAGACCCGGAAGAAGTTCCTGGTTCCTGGCTTCAGATCGGCCCAGCTCCAGCTGTAGCAGGCAATTGGGGAGTGAGCCAGCGGGTGGAAGACCTCTCTCTCTCTCTCTCTCTCTCGCTCTCGCTCTCGCTCTCTCGCTCTCTCTCCCCCTGCCTCTCCTCTCTCTGTGTAACTCTGACTTTCAAATAAATAAATCTTAAAAAAAAAAATCCTGCTTTCAATTCTTCTGGGTCACATACACAGAGGTAGAATTGCTGGGTCACACAACAGAGCCAGACATTATTTTGTTAATGACTAATTAGATTTGAGAATAAAGCTGTCAACAAAATTTAACTTTCTGATTGCCCTTTCCTGCTAGAAATACCTAAAGAGTTTCTGTAGATTAAAATGTGCTTGATAATCAACACCTTAACAGGGTATCATGGGTACTTTTAACGCTGTTAAGGGCAGTCTAGATACCATATTGAAGAGAAGGATTTCGCTAAGAATTCATACATTTGTACAAGTTAATTCATAAAGTGAAACAAGCACTTTGGCTTCTATTAACTGTTTCACATAAATTATTTTTGCTGTTCAGCAATTTGGATAATTGACTCTACTCACCAGTGCATTTTGGGAGTTTTATTTGTTTTTACTTAGTGTTTTACTTCACCTTTGACGTACTAAAGACCTGATTGTGAAATTATTCAACTTCCAGGCAGATGAGAATCAGCTCAGGCCTGCAGTCCAGGCTCTGTGCACCTCCCGTTTCCCGAATCATTTGCTCCAGGTCTTGGCTACTCACTAACTCACCTCCGCAACCGGAAACCAAAGTTAGGAGGAGGGGTACACACGGATGTGGAGGGTGTGGTTTTCACAGCAACATTCAAATTTCACTGCTCCAGTCAAAATGGCAAAACTTCTCCAAGGAGGCATTGGGCGGGATTCAGTTAAAGGGAATTTGAAAGTAAATCACAGAGTCTGAAGGAACAGCCTCCACAAGGGGCAAATGACAGTACTTCAAAAAGTTTGTGGGAAACATGGAATTAAACGATAAATGTATTTTACTGGAAAACATGCCTTAAAATTGATGCACAGTTTTTTCATAATATATATTTTCTATGAACTATTTGAAGAACTCCTCATATGCATGGATTTCAAAATGCTTTTGCACCAGAATAAATTAATATCTTAATCACAGTGCCAAACATCTGCCCCATAATTCATATAATTCTTAACTGAAGAAATGTCTGATACGATTAAACAATTTTTAAATAAAAATCATAAAGGACTGATGCTGTGACTCAGCACATTAAGCTGCTGCTTGTGGTGCCCACATCCTATTTCAGAGTGCTGTGTCAAGTCCCAGCTCCACTTCCAATCCAGCTCCTTGCTAATTCACCTGGGAAGACAGCACACACAGATGCACACATGCGAGTAAACATTGTCGTCTGCAGGGGGTGAAAAAGTAGAAACTTGGGCCCCTACCACCCACTCGGGAGGCCTGGATGAAGCTCCAAGGTCCTGGCTTTGACCTGGCCCAGCCCTGGCCATTGAGGCCATTTGAGGAGTGAACAAGGGCATGGGGGAGCTCTTTGTCTCTCTCACTCTCTCTCCAGCTCTCTCCATCACTTTACCTTTCAAATAAATAAAATACATTTTTAAAAAAATAAACAAAAGTAAAAATATTTTTAAAAACTCTCCCATTAAAAGTCTCCTACCCACTTCTGTCATTTGCCTGTTTCTACTTTTTCACCCCCACAACAACAAGTGTCACTTGCATGTGTGCATGTGTGTGTGTGTACATCTCCAGAAATTCTTCTTCCCTATGCAAGCAAAAAAACTCTATACTCTCCCTTACTTTTTTTAAGAAAAATGAATGATAATAACATGCCATTCCTGTATATACTGTGTATTATTCCACTGCCTGGGTCCTTGTATAACCTGTTTCCTATTAGTGGCCACGTAGGTTGGTTCCAGGCTTTGGCTACTGCAGATTCTGCCTCAGTGCCTACCTCTGCCAGCCTAACTTGGAAAGATGGTGACAAATTGCTAACTCACAGGTAATGCTAACCCAACACTCCCTGTGAGAGGAGAGCCCACGCCCTGCACCAGGGCTTCTTACACCTACAAGTCACCGGGATCTTGGGAAAACACCGATTCTGATTCATGCTCTGGGCCAGACCCAAGAACCCACACTGTAGCAAGCCCCTGGGTGGGGCGGATGCTGCTGCTCCAGCAGACCCCAGCTACTACTTTGAGTAGCGAGACCCTAGGGGAGGCACCAGGAAACATTATTCCCAGTGTCAGCATTTCCTTCACCTGAACTCCAGTCCCACGGCAGCAACCCCCTGGCTGAGAGGACCCTAACCCAAACCCTACATTTTCTGAGCCCCAGTCTCCTCTTAGGTTAAATGCATGAGGGTAGGAGATTAGATAACGCGGACACAACTCAAAACCATGATGCTGAGCCAAAGCACTCAGCCGCAGAAGCTTGTACGTCTGTGGAATTCTAGAAAAAAAAGCAAAATGAACGTCCGATGACAGAAATCAGAACACTAGGTGCCGCCGTTTTGGGAAGAGGGGAACTGACCGGGAAAGCCAGCTGTCGCGGAGGTATCTTGCACGTTTGGGCGGTTACATAGCCATATGCATTTGTGACAAGTCACGGAACTACGCTTTGAAACTCTGCGTGTTTTATTACACGTCAGTTATGCCTCAAGATAAAACTGCTTGGAAAGTAAAATGATACCATTTCCTACAAACTGTGATGAGCCATCAGAACGGACGCTGGGGTTCAGGAATGCGCCACATGGCACGGATGAGGCCATCTGTCGCCAGGGGACCAGAGACTGGCCCCACCGCCCCGGCCCCACGCCACGGGGACGCTCCCCCCCTACACACACCCTGCCTCGGTGTCCCGCCACGGCCGCCGCTTACTTGCTGCGGAACTCGTCGAGCGCGCGCTGCGCCTCTGCGCCCTGGCGCTCCAGCCGGCCGCGCTCGGCAGCCAGGTCCCGGGCGCGCTGGCGGTTGCCCTCCACGTAGCGAGCGAGGGCGTCCTCGGGGCCCGCCAGCTGGCCCAGGCGCTGGAAGGCGTCCAGTTGCCGCCGCAGCCCGGCGTGCCGCTGCTCGAGCGCCCGGGCCCGCTGGATGTGGGCGGCCACGCGCTCGCCGAGGCCCTGCAGCGCCGCCAGGCTGGGCGGCGCGCCCCGGCCCTCGTCGGCCGGCCGTTCGGGCGCCTCGTCGGCGCGCTCATACTGCTCCTGGCGGGTCTGGAAGACGTAGCTGCGCCGGTACATGGTGGCTGTGGTGCGAGGGAGCGCCACGCTGGCTCTCCGGGAGCCCCGCGCCGAGCCAGCAGCCGCTAAATAAACCCGGGCGGGCCCCGGCGCGCCGCTGGCAGCTTCCAGAGCCTGTCAGCCGCTGAGCCGCACGCGGCGCCCGGCGGGGCCGAACAAAAGCGCAGCCGCTCGCTTTGTGCGCGGGATTAGCGGCCCATACAGCGCGGGGCCGGAGAGGCAGCACGGGGCAGTGCAGGGTTTTGTCCCGGGGTGGCGAGGGCCTGGGGCTTTGTGATTGAACGGAGGGTCAGGGGGGACAGGAAAGGAGCGGCATTTGCTTTGGTCCACTGGGGCTTGTGAAGAAGCCGAGCCTGTTGCACTTGGCGTCGCTCAAGAGCCCAAGGCCCCTGGATTTGTTCCTTCCCTGTCAGTCACACTCTTCCCTTCCCAGAATTTTCTGAGGATGCCATCCTTTTCTAACCGGTTCAGCGATTCCTTTTCAAAATGATAATGCGCCGTGTAGGAGCCCACTCGGTATTCGGGATCTGAACCGTTGGTGCAGAACAAAATGGCGCGTCGGGGCCGGTGCAAGCAATTCCTCACTAGGACTTGTGCCTACTCCTGAGGAAGCTGCGAGAACCCGGATAGGGCGCAGGGTTCTGTGGTTACGCTGTCACTCCAGCTCTCCTGGGTTTTGACACCCTTTCCTGAGTGGAAGAAACAGAGCACTACCCATGACGTGGCTGTAATGGGTTCTTCGAACTCGGGAAAGATCTTTCCAGCCTACAGAGTTCCTAGCTTGGCTGACTCTCCAGTAGAAGAGATATGGCTACCCTAGGCTTTAATTTTTGTTATGGAAGTAGCGGATGGATTTTGATGACAGGCTTTGAAATGTGTATGCATGTGCACACATAGCATTAACAGCTAGGTTTTGACAAATTTTAAGGTAAATTGTGTTGCAGAAAGAAATGGATATGTTTGCTCCTGAATAGAAGTATTTTGTCATATCTTTGATTTTAAAAATCATTATCCAAAGGGTTGTTTTCTTAAAAATAAGGATTAGCAGTGCCATCTAATTAATTACCTCTTATATGGGTTGCACTTAATTATAGTACAAATTAGTTATAGTGATCAAAGGGAGAGAAAGAAAATTACACAGATCTGCATGGAATTTGTAATTACTCTGAAAAGCCTGCAGAACAATGGATTCAGTCTGGAATACGGGGATATAAAGTCTTCCACTGTGCTTCTGGTGTAGTTATTGTTCTATTTTCTTAAACCATTTAAAAATAGATTTTGTGTTCAAACCTGAGTGTTTTTGAAGGAACACATACCCTGTGCCGGTGGCATGGTAATTTGATTTCAGGCTTCCCAGAGAGCAAGACAAAAAACATAAGAGGAAGAGCTATAAATCATTCATTTCTTTTGACATCATATAGCAGTCAGATATTGGGACACAACAAACTGTCCCCAAAGCCATGTGTCATGCAGTGACCAGCAGTATCAGTCATGACACTCGCAGGTGCGCAGGGGTTGGATGGCTCTCCTGCCAGCTGCAGGTCTTTGGATCCGCAGAGGCAGCTCTGTTCCAAAGGCCCTCAGCCTCTGAGCAAGCAATGACAGAGGCACAGGAGCAAGCCTAGCCACACAAGAACGTCTCTGGCCGTGGTTTGCATCTTGTCTGTGCCACTGGTCAAAGCAAATCACAGGGGCCACAGGCAGAGTCTGAAGGAATGACTCAGCCTGAAGGCGTAGCAAGGATGAGTTTTACCCTGTTACATTGTGGTGAAGGCCAAGCCATACCCTGTTACACTGGGGTGAAGGGTGAGTCTTACCCTATTACATTGGAATGAAGAATTGGAACTGGGCTGGTGCTGAGGCATAGCAGGCTAAACCTGCAGCAGGGGGCATCCCAAATGGGCACCGGTTCATATCTCAGATGCTCCTCTTCCAATCCGTTAAGCCTTGGATAGCAGTGGAAGATGGTCCAAGTCTTTGGACCCCTGCCCCCACATGGCTGACCCAGAGGGAGCTCCTGGTTCCTAGCTTCGGATCGGCCCAGCTCTGGCCGTTGCAGCCATTTGGGGAGTGAACCAGTGGATAGAAAACCTCTCTCTCTGTCTTTCCCTCTCTCTGTCTATAACTCTATCTCTCAAATAAATAAATAAAATCTTTAAAAAAAATTTTAGAAACAGAATTGGGACCAACAAATCTATCTACCCCATTTGAGAAAAACATATCCCAGAAACATGATACAAGAAAAACTATTTCAGTGCAATGCAGTGGGACAAACAGAAAATTATCTACAAATGATGCATAATAGCAGAAAGTTAAATATTGAACAAATCCTTGTCCTCAGGGTGCTGGAGACAAATCTATGCCCAACTAATTAAAGCAAAGCAAAACAAAGCACCTGGGATAAGTTTGATATAAGAGACCTAAACAAAATGCTGTCATTGTACCAAAGAAGAAACAGTGACACCAGGTGGGACAGAGAAGTCAGAATCCTAGACAGAGAGGAGAGCATCAACCAAGGGGCGTGAGAAGCAGCAGAGCGAGCAGTCACACAGTGCGCTCCTGCATACCGAGAGCTGCCTTAAGCAGTAGACAGAAAAAGGGTTCCAGAAAGCAAAACTCCCACAGAGGCTGTGGCTTTCCTATGAGTAGCAGAGCAGGGAACCTGGGCACTATCTCTACTCCTCACAAGCCCCACCAAAAACAGCAGCAAAGAATTTTGGTTTGTTTTAGAATAAAGATCCACAAAAGCATGGAAGGAAAGATTACCATGCGCAAGATAGATCAACAAACTTTCAGGAGGCCAAGTAGAGATTGGTGGTCACTGAGTGTGTCAGTCAGCTTTTCATCATTAATGACAAATAACTTGACACAGGTACTCAGGAGGAAATTCAGTAAGCTCCCTGTGGGAGGTTCTGGGGCATGGCGCTGGCTTTGGCTCAGTTCTGGTGAGGACCTCAAGGTAGATGGTGCACAGTGATGTGGGGGCAAGGGACAGATCAGGACAAGTAGTCACACCTTGAACCAGGAGCAGAGAGACAGGGGGGACGCAGCCTTGCTCCTGCTGTCACAGTCCTCTCTGGAGAACTCCTGTGTCTCTGCCTCTCCCATCTTCTTCAAGCCCACCCCCAGGGTACCAACGACCTCCTCTAGACCCCACCGCCCAAAGGCAAACCTCAAGCCATGGTAGTGACTGAGCAGAGGGCAGAAAACTGAAACTCAGGCCCCTACAGAGGGGAGTGGAAAGGACATCGAAGAGGTTCATGCCAGAGAATTCCAGAAGAGTTTTAGAGTTGTATTGTGGAGCCTGGCGCTATGGCATGGCGGGTTAAAGCCCTGGCCTGAAACGCCGGCATCCCAGCAGTTCAAGTCCCAGCTGCTCCTCTTCCGATCCAGGTCTCTGCTATCGCCTGGCATAGCAGTGGAAGATGGCCCAAGTCCTTGGGCCCCTGCACCTGTGTGGGAGACCTGGAAGAAGCTCCTGGCTTTGGATCGGCACAGCTCTGGCCATTGCAGCATCTGAGGAGTGAAACCAGCAGATGGAAGACTTCTCTCTCTGTCTCTACCTCTCTCTCTGCAACTCTGTTTTTCAAATAAATAAATAAATCTTAAAAAACAAATCAGACCTCCTACCTGCTTCTTGCACATCTAGGTAGCTACCTAACCCCCATGATGACAGATAACCTGGAAATGATTCTCTTGTGAAACTGAACGAGAGCGATCCTGAGTTCAAGGTCACCAGGCATAGCCATGGGCAGGGAAGAGGCCATATTGAAAAACAAGAGCATTGTGGGAGTAGATCCATGGATCCACATGGAAGGGCGAGCTCTACCTTTCCTATTTCTCATTCACCGATTCACTCCCAGGATGCTGGCCACCTGCCATACATTCCCAGGTTGAAAATTTGGGATTATGAAAGGAATCTGCAGGAAAAAAATAACTTCAGAAAATGATTTCAGAGAAAAAGCATCTCCAGAGTTGGAATTTGGAATGTTGATTGATTGGCTTTTAGTCCCAACATGGGTTATGCTTGTGTGGTCCAAAGTTAATTCAAACAAGGCCATGAATCACTGAGACCCATTTTACACTAAAGATTTTCTCCTTGCAGCACGTAAATCTTCTGCACTTTGCTTTTTCAAAATTTAATGTTTTCCCCCAAAGTATTGATTCTCTAAAATGTATATACATCATGGTATCCTGCTCCCAACTCTTTATGCCATTGAAAATACAGATACTTCTTATGAGAATTTTGCTATAATCGGCCGGCGCCGGGGCTCACTAGGCTAATCCTCCGCCTTACAGCGCCGGCACACCAGGTTCTAGTCCCGGTCGGGGCGCCGGATTCTGTCCCAGTTGCCCCTCTTCCAGGCCAGCTCTCTGCTGTGGCCAGGGAGGGCAGTGGAGGATGGCCTGAGTACTTGGGCCCTGCACCCCATGGGAGACCAGAATAAGTACCTGGCTCCTGCCATCGGATCAGCGCGGTGCGCCGGCCGCAGCACGCCAACCGCGGCTGCCATTGGAGGATGAACCAACGGCAAAGGAAGACCTTTCTCTCTGTCTCTCTCTCTCACTGTCCACTCTGCCTGTCAAAAAATAAAAATAAAATAAAAAATAAAAAAATAGAATTTTGCTATAATCAGTGGAGTTTTCATCTCCTGTGAAAAAAGAGATTGAAAATATGAGAAACTGGAGGGGCCAGCACTGTAGCTTATAAAACTCTTAGTAAACCTCTGCTTGTGCTGCCGGCATCCCATCCACACGTCGGTTCACATTCCCCTGCTCCTCTTCCGATTCGGCTCTCTGTGGCCTGGGAAAGAGGTAAAGATGGCCCAGTCCTTGGGCCCTGCACCACATGGGAGACCTGGAAGAAGCTTCTGACTCCCTGCTTCGGATCAGCGCAACTCCGGTTGTTCCGGCCATTTGGGGAGTGAACCAGTGAATGGAAGACCTTTCTCTCTGTCTCTCCCTCTCTCTGTCTGTAACTCTACCTCTCAAAGAAATAATAATAACTTTCAAAAGAAGCAGAAGTAAAAGAAAGTGGAAAGATTAGTTGCCTGGTTTGATTGGTTTATGCTGTGTTTGTGTGTTGCAATTTTGCACCATAACCCATAAAAAAGTATAACTACTATATGTAATCATCAAAACTTTTGTAATAATTATAACATTTTTAAATAATAAATTAGATAATATTCATTTTTAAACAAAAAGGAAAGAGATTAATTCGGGGCATTAACTCTTCTCTGTGGGTGTGGAACCTGCTCTCACACCTACTTATGACCGGTTATAAACCAACGTAGCTGGGGTTTCCCAGGCACTTGGTTTTCTGAATTTGGACTCCCTAGAAGCAGACCCTGCAGCAAGACTTAAAGCACAAGCACAAGGGTACTTCAAACAGTTGGTGGAAACGGAATTTGGTTTATTTTAGTGCAAAAGGCCTGAAATCCATGGTTTTTTCCTGATGTACATTTTCCAGGAACTTGTTGAAGGCCTTTCCTCACTGAGTAGTGAGGACATGTTCTTAGGCGATTTGTTGCATGAGCATCAATTGCACAAACTTAGATGATACAGTTAATCACTCACGTGGCCTTTGAATGTACTCAGGTGACACAGTGCCCACGGGGCGGACGAGGCTGCTGCTGGCACAACACAGCGTCCCATTTTTTTTTTTAATTTTTTTTTTTTTTTTTGACAGGCAGAGTGGACAGTGAGAGAGAGAGAGTCAGAGAGAAA